ATCTCCATTGGGCTGGCCTCTTAATAGCTTGATCTCAAAGGTGCACTACAGCTGTGCAGGTAAAGGGCAACACTCCCCACCAGGGTAATTTCGCCAATTTCTGCTCTGGGTTCTCCAAACCTCTTCCTCACAGCAACAGTTGCAGCCTCCTGTGCTGACTGCTGTGTTGAGTTTCTCAGACTATGCCATTGTAGCAGAAAAAGATAATTATATTTTCCTGGATGACCTATGCCCGAGTTCAATCTTAGAGCTCTCCAATATTGCTCACTCAGCATCAGGAGAGGAGCAAGAGGTGAGCACTCATTCTGTGATATCCTGGAAGGGACAAGAATAATACCTGAAGCAGGCTAAGAGGTATTGGTTGGAGGCATGGGGAAGAAAGGAAGCATTTTGATCCCTAGTGAATGCCGATGTCTGCCTCCAGCTTAATCAAGAGCACAGAACTTTTTCTTGCTTTAGGGTTACAATTTAGGATCTGCCACATCACAATAAATCCCAGTGGCACAGCATAAACTATAATTGTGAGCTACTGAGTACTTCCCGTTCTGCATGCGCATGAATTTCTTTTTCAGATACCTACTGTTTTCAAAATTGTTAATGTGGTTTAGAAACATGCATAGGCCAGGATACCACAGGAACTTGTGGGGTGCACCAAAGCACTTTTAGGAAACCTATTATTGTTGTGAATGTTATGCTGAGAGCTGACAACTGCCATTGACTTCAGTAAAAGTTTTTAGTCTAATTTGAAAATGTAGAGCCTATCAGTCTTAAGAGAAGAGCATGAGAAGAGCATAGCTTTGTAGAACATAGACTTGTAATTTAAATTACCAGAACAATAATGTGAGAGATTAATTTTGAATGATGACTTTAAATACACTCTTTACTAAAAAAAAAAAAAAATGCTCTTTTAAAAATTCAATTGTATTAATGAATCATTGGAAGCTTAGAATTTAGAAGTTAAATACTGTTTGATCCCATCTATATTAAAAGCTCCTTCACTTTTCCCAGAAGCTCTATTTCAACATTTTTATTTATAAGCCACTATTTACTTAAGGACTTATTACAAGAAAAAAGGACTCCCTCTAGTGTCATTGCAGCCAATATATTTGGGGATTTGTATGGACCACTGAAAGCTTGGGCTTACTTTTGATGAGACAACAGAGCATACATACACAACTACTTTGTATCTGTGATATTAAGAAGCTTTGCTCCACTACTCTGCACCTCCATTCAGGAAATTGACCTTCAGTGTTTTCCACCTGACACAGTGTAGCCAGTGTTCAATCTTTCCCATTATATTTATCCAGGCATAGCTGCTAAGTGTTTGTAACTTACCCACAATGGCAATTTCAGCATAATTTAACCAAATTCAAAGAAATAGGATAGAAGTTGTTTCAAAACATGTTGAGATATTTGGTGGGGGATTTTTGTTTGTTTGTTCTTGGTTTTGTATTTTTCCCCCCTAATTGTCTGAAATCCTATGGGAACCCTAAGAAAATCTTGTCTGCAGCAGCAATTTGCAAAGAGTATTATCAATTAAAAATTAAACAGGAACTAATCTTTAAAGTGGTTTCCAGTACAACTTGAAAATCCTGTCTTCTCAGTGGAACCTTTTTCCAACCAAATAAAATAAAAAGAAACTAAAATAAAAAGAAACTGTTACACTAGCTGTCAGATGCAAACAAGCAGATCTCCATCATTATTAGGAAAGGATTGGTCAACTAGTTGCATGATTTTACACATTTGCACAGAACTATTCAGCACTGAGATCAACTACTGGATATGCAGCTGGCATAGAGAAACCATTCCATGACTGGAATTTTTTGTAGGGAACAAATCCTGGTGTTCCTTTAAGACATAATAAATTCCTTGAATAATATATGCTAAATATTATAAAAAGGGGAAAAATTTAAAACCCCCAAATCACAGACATATGGGAAAAGCAGAAATAAAAAAGGAAGAAGATTGGTGGTGCTTAGCAATGACGAAGTACAGTTTAACAGGAATAGAATTTATCCAAATCTTTAACACTTTTCTTTAGAAACTTATGTTCCACTAAAAGCAAGTATGACCCATGGTAGGAAAATCCTGAATGACTTAAGAAAATGTGCCTTAAAGCTATAGCCATGTAGGCATTGCTCAAGGTATGGCCTTTCTCTTTTCAGAAGTCTCAATGTTTGTTTTAAACGTCCATGAAGATTTCTGAGTCACAGCACCACAGAACATCGGTGGGAAGGTACGTCTGGAGGTGGGAAGGTACATCTGGAGCCTGTTCAGACCAACCCCTCTGTTCCAAGTAGGGCCACTGCCAGATGTTGCTCAGGGCTGTGCCCTCTCAAGTTTTGGCTGTGAATAAAGATGGACACCCTGCCTGAGCAACCAGTTCTAGTGCTTTATTCCAAGCATGAAGAGGATTTTTTGTATTTAAATGCAATTTCCTTTATTTCAGTTTGGGCTTAATTGTGCTTGTACTTTCCCTGGACACCTGTAACAATCCTACTCCCTCTTTTCACATGCTCCCATCACCTGTTCATAGATATTGATATAATAATGGATTAGATTCCCCTGAGTTTCCTCTTCTCTGGACTGAACAATCCCACCTCTGTCAGTCCCTTCTCAGAGTCAATTGGCCTCAGAGTCAATTGCCTTTCTTTGGACAAAAGGCAAATTTTAAATGAGCATACAAAAAAGATTATTTTGTTTAAGGAAAGTATTAGTTCAGTGACTCCTGCTGTTACTAACTAGAGACTGATGAAATTTTTGCGACTCTACTGGTTGCTCTAAAGTGATATAGATTACCTAAAATAACTGCATCATATTCCCAAATTTCATCCTATACCATGAATCATGAGGTATTAAAAAAAATATGTCTCATTCATGCTTTTTCATATTCACAAAGTTTTTGTAGCTCAGCCCAGCAACATTGTTTATTTATTCTTCCTTCTCTGAACTCAGATCTCCAGTGGTGCTCTGGTCCAGCACAGACGTGCCCCCTTGCTTGCACAGTGTCCTCCTGCACGTGCCTTGCCAGTTGCGCATGTGATACCAGAGCCCTCATGCTCCCTATCTCGCTGTCTTTGCATTTAGCCCCAAAACCCCTCTCATGTATGGGACACTCCTTTACCTGCCTTGTGCCCCTCATTCAAGCACCTGGCTGCAGTATTTTTTGACTACTACTTCTCAAGACCCACAGGGCAAGTGATGCTGTCCCTTCTGAGGAATAATCCAATGACTTTCCCTGCAAACTTCACTGCACAGAGTAGGGATAAGCTAAGTGAGACCTGTGTAACTCAGGTAAATGATGCAAAGGCAAAACTTTCCCCCAGGCTCCCCTGTTGCAGCACAGGGGTTTGTTGATGCACATCTGGAGATCTGCTCTTCCAGTATCAGTCATACCATAAATTGTTATTCCACATTAAATGCTCTTTCTGACCTTCTTGTTCACATCTCAAATAAATGCTTTTTGCAATACCTGCTCCAGGTTTTCACAGATCTTCTCTGAATGGCAGTCTGAAGTGAATGAAGTTTATCAGACCTCTGCCTTTGAGATTTTTAATTAAGTTTTAAAGTGATATTTAGGGGAAGATCCCTCTCCATGATTTCCATCTGATCACAGATTCCCCCTGCTGTCACATACATTATTCTAAAACTGTAAAGATAGCAAAGCTGACCAAAATTTTCTAAGAAAAATCTAGACTAAATGTTGATTGCAAACCTCAAAGGAAGAGAAGAACCAGACAGCTGACCCAGAAAAGATATTCATGCCATCACCATTTTTTCTTCTTCTTTTTTTTTTTTTTTTTTCCAGTTTTGGTATCTCAGTTTCTGCTTGCTTAGTGTCATATTTCAGGTCAGAGATTCCAGTCCTATGTGTAAGGGAGTAACAAGTTAAAAAAACAACCGACCTGTTGAGACACATTGCAATGCACCCTGCTAGCTGATAAAATCGCAGAAAATTTTATGACTGCAAGGCAGTTCCTGGCACGGATCATTTATGTAACTTAAGACATGTCTGCATATTTGAATTAAGTGTGGTAAAGGCTTCTAAATGACTGGCTGAAATGTGCTCTTTAAAAACGTTTCCTAAGGTGACGCTTTGTGCTTTTAAGCACAGGACTGCAGTGAGGAGGTGTGAACTGTGTATTTTTTCTAATTTAGGACCTGTACTTGTTATAATCAGACCTTATCACTATAACTAGCTTGGAGGACGTTGTAACCTGGTAGGGGTTAGCCTCTTCTCCCAGGAAACAGGATGAGATGACATGGTCTTAAGCTGCGCCAGGGGAGGTACGGGATGGACATTAGGAGGAATTTCTTCTCAGAAAGGGCGATTAAACATAGGAATGGGGTGCCAAGGGAGATGGTGGAGTCACCTTTTCTTGAAGGTGTTGAAGGAAAGGCTGGATGTGGCAGTCAGTGCCATGGTAGAGATGTAATGGCGGTGTTCACTCATAGATTGGCCACAGTTTCAGAGGTGTTTCCAGCCTAATTGATTCTACGATCATCTCAACTTCTGAAACCAACTTGTTTAATCTACTTGTAACATGTTTCTTTGCTAAAGCAGTGTCATGCATTTCTTTATGGACAAGCACGCAAACACTCTGAGGGATGGAGATGCTCCAGCCAGCAGACGGGAAGGTTTGGGATACCTCACAGCAGCCTCCCACTGCGACAGGCAGGCCATGGAGACACAGGGTGCGCAGTGGGTGAGTACTGACAATAGCTGTAACCCACATCAGTGGGATAGCAGGTCCCACCCGAAGCACGCACTAACCCACAGCCGTGAGGGGCGCTCGAGACTATGGAGAAGCACTGCCCCATCTCCCGTCCCAGGCCGGTGCTCCTGGAGCGGAGGCGGGCCGGCGCAGGGGCTGAGCTGTGAGGAGGGCGGGAAGCAGGGGAGGAGGGCGGAGGCCGTCCCGGGCGGCGGGCGGGGAGCAGGGGCCGGGGCTGTGACACTCCCCGCCGCTCCCCAGGGCTGCGCAGGGGCCCCACCGCTGCCCGCGCTGGAGGAGTCCAGCTGGGCCGCAGCTCCGGCATGGCCGGCGCGGCCACCGCGCTGCTGCGGCCGGCGCTGCTGGTGCTGCTGCTGGCCTCCGGCCGGCCCGCTCTCGCAGGTAGGGCCGCGGCGGGGGCCGGAAGGCACCTGCGCCCGCGAGGAAGGGGCGGCTCTGCCGCAGCTCCGGCGCCTGGGCTGCTCGTAGCGCTGGAGCGACTTGTCGCCAGTGTTCCCGCGAAAGCAGCAGCCCGACGGGGAGTGGCCCTGCCCCGGCCCCGTGCTCGGGCCAGCTGCCGCCGCTGCCCCTTGGCCGGGAGCGGGGGCGGCGGGCGGGCGGCGCTGGCGGCGCACAGGTGGTGGGACGGCGGGCATTTTGTGAGGGCGTGGTGTCCTCTCGCCCTAGAGTGAAGGCCGGGCTGTCCGCTCGGATGTGAGCCCGCCTTGTGCCTGCCTCCCCTCCTGCTGCAGAGACGCTGAGACTTGACATAGCTAGACTTCCTAATAAAAACGTGGATGCTTTGCAAGCAATGTAGATGTAAACCTTTTCCCTCCACTTCCTATCATAATTTTAGTATGTCATGAGGAAAATTGCTGAGGTAGAAACAGGAATATTCCGTGCAATTCCTTCCCTGCTCCGTGCGTGGGAACTAGTAGTCCCGATGATAAATATCAGCCAGGAGCTGCAGGTATCTGGGTTTTAGCATACAGCTTCGGCTGCCTTGTGCCTGGCTTTTCAAGACAGGCCAGGCACCTCACCAGCAGTGATGCACATTAAGGTGCGTGTCTTGGGCAGTCATCAAAACCATTGGAACAGCCAAAAGTAATCTGCATATTCTGTTTCTTCTTGAGATGTAATTTGAAGTACGTTGCAATTTGAGCTTAAAAGACTGGTAGTGAAGTTTATTACTTATATATATTTTAAAAACTGTTGAATGAGTATGCAGTTGAAGAAGTGTGGTTTTTCATCCACCCTCTGTTCCTCACTGCAATCCCATATGAGACAAACCAATCGCTGTAACTTTCTTTAAAAATGTCAAGTGGTCAGTTTCTGTGGTTGTGTGGCATCTGTTTCACTAGCTGAGAAGACAGGTTAGAAATGAACTAATATTTGATTGTAACCTTAAAAAATAGTTTTTACCTCAGAAGTTAATGAAGAGATTAATGAAAGGATTAAGTTCAGATCCTGTAAATGAAATACACCAATCATTTCTTTCCATGAGAGAATTTCAGTGATGGAGCTCTAAGTAATGTCCATCAGTTTTGTGAGTGAAGACCCTGCAGCCAGAGTGGATGGAGGAGTTTTTTTATTCCTCATAGAGACGTCTCAGACACACCAAGGATGTCAGAAGATTTGAGTGCCACTGAAATGGCAACCTCTGGTAATAGTAGCATTGTCTTAAATGACATGACAAAGGATTTTGTGGATATTACTGATAGTGGTGTTAGGCCAATCTGTGCTTTATGGCTTGTTGTTCGTTCGTCCCTGGTGCTGCCGGGAGTGCAAGCAAAGCCAGATGATACTTTTCCAAACCACCTGGTAGGGACACAAGCCTGCTGCTTCTAGGTGCACCAACCTGTGATGCTCTGCTTGAGCTGCCTTCAAGCTGAGATTTGCTAGGCAATGTGGACTGACTTCACCACCAGAGGAGAGCTTGTTTAAATCCAGCTCTCTTCATTTACTCCAGGTGCTGTTACAGCTATTATCTCACCCAGAGACAATCTAGCAAAAGAGTCGAAGTCTGGGAAGGAAAAAATCCATGAGCTTCTTATAGGCAGTGCACTCAAATTAGTTTTTAAGTGACTTTCTCAACTCTTCAGTTTTCAGTGAGTTTCTATAATAAAACTAGAAAATAACATCAGTACTGTTCATTTCACATTCAGTGCTTTAACTACAGGCCTGTCCTTTATCTGGAAGTCATAGAATGCTTTGGTGTGGAAGGGACCTTTAAACATTGGTTCTGGTGTGTAAAGCATTTGTAGGTGCAGCATAGGGATATTCTTCATTGTGTCCATTTTAGGTGAGTGTAAGAGGCTTACACACTCTGGTAGTGTTTGATTTACCCTCAAAATGTCACTAGATTTTACACTGAGAAAATGTGAATCAGCCCTCAGAATTCCCTTTTGAATAATTGTTATATTTAGCCTTAAAGGGCATTCCCAATGAATCTGGCATCTTCCTTTTCCACTTCCATTTTTCCTGTGTCTGTACATGCTGTTGATATCATCTGCTATCAGTTTAGATAAGCTGACAAAGATTGGAGGAATGTTGTTTCATTGTGAAGTGTCCCCTTTTGATTCTTTGGAGGTTTATTTCACCTCTCATTTTGCTGCATTACTTTTGCTATTTGTCCTTGTAACAAAGCTTAATTAACCCAACTCCTGTGGGTTGAGATACAGGACCATGTTTTGGAGAGTGTAAGATTTGTAAGCAAACCATATTATGTATTCTGTGGTAGTGGTGATGTTTTCAATCTCCAATTCAATTTCAACTCCAATCAAATTCCAATCTCAACATTGGAATTTGATCTTACCTGTGATGCAGCAAGTAATGTATGAAGGAAAAAAAATATTAAAAATATGGTTTTGCTAGCTGTAAAAGAAATCATGCCAAGGCACTATAGGTGGTTCAAAATCTTGTTAACTGGTGGATCAGTGCCTACCTGCCCCACCTTCAGTGATGGTTTCTGACTCCGAGGAGTTTTATGGAAGGTAGAAGGTTTAACTTAAATTTCTTTTTTTTCTTTCCAGAAAATTTGTTTATAATATAAATATCAAACTGTTGCCCATGGTACTCTGCAAAACATTGACTTCACAGCTTCATTCTAGTTATTTTAAACTGCACTGAGTAATCCATAATCTCTCTGCTTTTTCTTCCCCCAAAATCCAATATATGAATTTAGCATAATAGAAAAAAATGTAATTATTTAACCTATTTCCTGTCTTATTAGTTAGTCCATCTTTATACTGGAGATTTCTCTCTAGTTATGTTATTCCACTACTTGCTTTAAAGAGGAGTTTTTTATTTACCCCACAGAATAACATTTTTATGTATAACAATAGGTCCTCTCAGTTTATAAATTTAATCTAAAACCTGCAAGGTATATTTCAGCTTTTTGACGAATGCTTCTTATAAACTAGACGCAAACTGCTGGGAAAGCATTCCCTTTTGTTCCATTTGGGATCAGTTTTTCTAGGCACAGCGGTGACTCTTTCTTTGGAAGAAACAGATGTATTTCAGTAATGTAAAGATCTTTCCTGTGTTTCTCTCGGTATTTAATATAACTTGATATTACATTGTTGCTGGCTGTGAGTTGTGCTGAAATCTTGTCCTTGGGAAAGCTAGGTAGAATTCTTATATATCCTGTAGCAAATTTTTAGATACTGTTATTGATTGTTATTTCATGAATGAGCTACTAAATTAGTCTTTGATTTGGCACTCTGCACAGAATCCAGTTCAGAGTCAAAGTCACACTTTATAGGAGTTGTCAGAATGTATTAGATTAAGCAAGGGGACAGCTAATGTAGGAACTGGAACATTTAAACCCCAAAAGTCCTCTGCAGTAATGCTAGATTTTAAAATGAAGCAGAATGAAGCTAAAAACTGCAAAATAAATATTTAACTGGTGGTGTTCTTACAAGCTGTATCCAAACACAGCTGAAAGCATCATAAACCTTGGCAGATGGAATTTGAAAATCTGTCTGGATAAAAAAAAAAGGTCAAGGATCAGCTTGAAGGAATCAGATCTTTTACTAAATCCTCCTTAAGTACGACAAGAACAAAAACCCTGCAGAGGGTCCATGCAGCCAGTTGATTAAGTTACTAGTATAAAAGGGACTCTCAGAAAGGGCATGGCTGCTGCAGAGAAGCTAAACTAAGTGGCATTTACTGCTAATTGGGAAGATCCCAAACTGAAATTCCTTTTTGAGCTGGTGGAAGGGGAGGAGAGGGGTTGACCTAAAAGAACTTGGTGATGAAATAACTTGCTTACTAAGGGTAATATCTGATCTCATGCTTAAACTGCCTGGTACCTGAAGCCTGGATGGTGGCAGATTTTATCCTTGTATTTAAATAATATTTACAGGGCACTGTAAGCCTGACATCCATAACTCAAATTTGTAGGTACTGTAAAAGAATAAAAGATGCACAAGTGAGATGGATAAATTTTGCAGGAGTCTATAAGATCTCTTTAAAGAGTTCCTTGCAAACCCCTTGGAGTTTTCTTGATGGAGGTGGAAAGGTGGCCAAGATTTAGAGTTTCAAAAGACTTTTTATAAAGTTTGCTGCCAAAGGCTTTTTAGCATTCATTGGAGTGCAGGGCTTTGTATATTAAGTAATTGATTAAATAGGAGGAGTGGTAGATGATTGATATATTTTTTTTTATGTGTCAGAGGGAAGTTACCAGCAGAATTTTGGAGGATTTGGTCTTTGAACCTGTTGTGTTGTTCAAAATGGCAATAATGGGAATGGTAAAAGCAGTGAGCCATCACATGAAAACTCTTGCTGATGTTACTGTTCCTCAGGGCAGAAAAGAGGGGAGAAGACGATGAAGGAGGCTTGTTCAGATTTGAGTGAGTGGCCACCAGGGTGTTGGGGTGTGGTTGGAAGTTGCATACAGGAAACAAGAGGAGCACCCCACATTAAACTCTTCTTGACCAGGCCTAGCTGCGAGCTTAGCCCTCTTCCTAGCCTTCATGGCCAAAGCTCCCCTATACAGCCTACACCTGTGTCTGCCTAAAGCCCACGTAGAAGCCCCCATTGCTGGCTCCATGCTGCTAGCAGCCCTTATGCCTGGAAGAGAGGAATGAAAACATCTGAAAATGTCACAGGTGGCAGGAGACTTGTGGGTCTTATCTGCAGAGATGACATAGATTGTCTCTGATGGAGATGTAAGAGCATGTTGTAGATGAACATGTGTCCAAAGAAAAACTAGAGGAGTACTTCATAGAGAAATTCTGTTGCAACTCCAAAATAGACTGGGTGTGACAAGCTCAGGAAAAGACCTGGAACAAACAAACAAAAATTAAGGAGTATTTGAAAAAAATTATTCAGTATAATTACATGGTTCTTACCATTCCAGTCATCACTCTTGGAGATAAGAAAACTGGCCTGTATTCATCCCTTGTCAATTCTGGTATGGCCATTGGCCTCTTATTAAACTGCTTGGACAGGTGAATTTGATATCTGAGATTTATTTTCATTTGTACGTGAATAAGTGTCTAGAAAATAATATAAATTGTTTACATATATATGGGTATGATTGAGAAAGACAGATTTTTTTTGTGGGTGTGTGTGTGATTGAGTTTCCTCTTTATTTTCCTTTATTTCTTTCAGTATCATTTTATGGTAGTAGCTTTGTGGAGCTGAACATGGCAGAGGCATCCCATCAGACATCCTTACAGTTGCAGTTTCAAACAAGCCAGCCACAGGGACTCCTTCTTCTTGCAGCTGGGAAGACCGATTATTGTTTAATGGAGCTGCGCTCAGGATATGTACAGGTATGCTTTGTAACTGTAGCTGAAAATTATGCATAGCCTGTGCTTATCAGAGTTTTTCTTGAGGCTGTTATCTATAACAAGATATCTAAACAAGTTGCTGTTCTGAGAAATTGAAAAGTCACTTAATATAATTGATAATTTTATGGCTTTTATTTCTTACAGTTATGTATCTATAGCCTTTGAGATCTCTAGATCTTAAAATTAAGATCATTGTGTTCCAAGCATGAGGTTCAGCAGAGACAACATTTCAGATTTGATGATGTTAGCATTACAGAAAATGCTTGGATCTGAGTAATTGTATTTCTGCAAGGTAAGTTTTTGAAAGATCACTTTCAGTTGGGCTCTCAGGAGTTGTTGTTTCTAGCAGAATTGCAGTGGAGTCCATTGCTTCTTCTGCAGTTATTCAAACATCTGTGATGACAAGTGAACCTACACAGAATTTTATTGGGATTTTATTTTTTCAAATCTATTTTATAAATTATATGGTTAGTGTGAAAATATATGAAAATGAATATATTAACTATGTCTTAATGTATGATTGTGAAAAAGATAATTGTGGATTTTTATACTTAAAATTCTGTCTCTTGCAGTTGAGAATTAACTTTGGTGCGGGAGAACGAGTACTGCATTCTCAGCAAAGATCTCAGCTGAATGATTTGGCTTGGCACGTGGTTGAACTACATCATGAACATGATAATGTCACATTGGTAATTGATAAACATGATAGAACTAGTGTAAAAATGCCCGGAATTCTTTATGAATTAAACATTGATTATGGATTCTACATAGGTGGTCCTGGTAAACTTGATGTTCCCTACCTTGCTGGAGCACTACCCAGTTTCCGAGGATGTATTGATGGTGTGTCATTCAATCAGTTAGACATTCTGATGCCTCTGAGACCTTCTCCTGGCTTCAAAAACATCCATGAAGTTTCAGTGGGGTGCAGTGATGAATTCTTTGCAGGTGAAGAAGAACCTATTAGTTTCTTCAGTTCCAGGTCCTATATTTCTTTCCCATCATGGAATGTGGACAACGAGGGAATCTTCGAGTATGCTTTACAAACCTCAGCTGCACGTGGCTTGCTGCTTTACCAGCCTGGGCAAGCAGGAGATTTCATTGCAATGGAAATGGAAGATGGTTTAATTAAAGCTTATGTTGGAAAACATGGTAGTAGAACCCATCTTTCTTCTTATAGGTCAGTCAATGATAGTTGTTGGCACTACATCAAACTGAAATTTACTGCAGAATATTTGCAGCTAACATTGGATGAAGAAACTGTGAAAAAGTCTTTACGTCCCCAGAGCAAGCTGCCCCTTCTGAAGGGATCCTTCTTTGTAGGTGGTGTAGATGACAGCATACGATCAGAAGCGATGAAGTTAATCTCAGTATCTGGGAAGTACACCAGAGGAGGATCCTTCAAAGGCTGCTTAAGGAACCTGAAAGCCAACTCAGAAAAGAAATCACTGAAGAATGTTCTAGTAACTAAGGACATTTCAGCTGGATGTGAACTGCCAAGTTCTTTTAAAGCAAATCTTTTGTTAGAGACGGCTGAAAAGAACCCTCCTGTGAAAGCAGCTCCTGTATTTGCCATTTCCCATGAAAACTCAATTTCTCTGGGCAAGGAAGACAAAAGCCACCTTTTAGTTCTGAGTAACTTGATTGTGCTAGAGGGTGAAAAAGCTTCACTTGAATCTAAGCATATTAAAATTAACTTAGACTTTCAGAAATTAGGAATTAATCAGTCACAAATTCTTTTTGATATAAAGAAACCACCCTCTCATGGACACTTGAAACTGAATGTTGAACCATTGCAGGAGGTAAATACATTTACTATGCAGGATGTGTGGCAAGGGAAGATTCTGTATGTTCATGATGGCTCTGAGGACACTTCTGATTATTTTAATTTCTCCATTTCTGCCAGCAGTGAGAAGACTGTGCCTCCATATTTGCAAGGAAATGAGCAGCATATGTTTAGCATTACTGTTACTCCAGTAAATGATGCACCTGAGATCATACTTCCTGAGGGAAACTTGCTTCTTCTCTTAGAGAACTCAAAGAAACGTTTGACTAATGACCTGATAAAGGTTCTAGATGAAGATACCGATTCTGTGGGTCTCAGACTTTCAGTGCTTGGAAATCTGAATGCAGATGCAGGATTTTTAGAAAATTCAAGGCATCCTGGAAAAGCTATCACTACTTTTTCTAATGAGGATTTAGACAAAGGCACTGTTTTCTTTGTCCACACAGGTGTCAGGAACTCAAGGATAGTTCTCAGGGCAAGTGATGGTGAGAAGGTGAGCAACACCGTCGTGTTACGTGTCATGGCAGTTCCTTTGGATTACAGAGTTGTCAACAACACAGGAATAAATCTCCTCCAAGGTTTTACAGCTCTTATAGGACCTAGGCATCTTGCAGTTGAAACAAATGCTGTCCTCCAGGAACTGGAGATATGGTATGAGATCACAGAGCCACCTCACTTTGGTCAGGTCCAAAGGCAGCGTTCAAGGGGGTTATGGAAGCAAGTCAGCTCTTTTTCTCAGCACTCTCTTCAGCACAATCGGGTGAGATACTGTAGCACTTTTAAAGACGTTCAGCTGGAAAACATTACCGACCAATTTAAGTTCAAAGTTAGCGTAGGAAACAAAATCAGTGAAGAGCACACATTTCCAATCAGAGTGAAATGGTTAAGATACGATCTGTTGAAACATGCTCCTCTAGAAATTGAAAAACCAAAAAAGAAGTACTTGAATTCTGATAATCTGTTTGCTGTGATTGCAGATCTAGAAATACCTGAAGATGAGCTTCATTTCAAACTTCTGTCCCTACCAAAGAATGGACAGATACTGCTTAATGACCAGCCTTTGAAAGAAGGTTCAGTCTTTAGCCAAAAAGATATTACTGATCAAAAAGTGGCATATGAATTAATCAGCCAGTACCATGAAGGCTATGATTCATTTAGATTTCTCATTTCTACAACGTATCTGGATTCAAATTTCTATGACTTTGAAGTCTACATCAAATCAGATTTCAGAAACATTATTTTGACTAACAATGGCCTTAATGTTGTTGAAGGGGAAGGAGAATTAATAACAAGCACAAAACTGTTTGTGCAAACACTAGATAATAAAACTTTCCAATATGAAGTTATACAGTTTCCTAAGCATGGGAAATTAAAACTTACTAATTTTTCTGGTTCATTCGAGAATAATGACAATCTTACAACTTTCACTAATAAAGATATAACTGATAAGTGCCTTATATATGTGCATGATGATTCTGAGACCATGTTTGATGAACTTCTTGTCAGAGCTTCCAGCAAAGAGTCAGGAAAGGGGGCAAACTTTGATCCAGAAGTAGAGCCTTTGTCAGTAGAAGTCAGATTCTATATTTCCGTCCAGCTGAAGAATGATGAGAAGCCAGTTCGTGTAGTTGATAAGATATTTGACGTAGTGAGAAATGGGCAGCGATTATTAACTTTGGCAGATCTTTGCTATCGTGATCCTGATTCTGATTTTGATGATGGACAGTTGCTATATACTAGACGTGGTATTTCCAATGGGGACTTGGTGCTAACAAATGATACTTTGCATAGACTCTACCAATTCAAACAAGTGGACCTGGAACAAAAGCAAGTCCTGTTTATACACCATGGTGCAGATTTTGGGCGTTTTGTGCTTTTTGTGACAGATGGCAAGCACTATACTTCTGTGCTTCTGGAAGTTAATGCCACCGATCCTTATGTAAAGTTGGTAAATAATACAGGATTGTTAGTTCAAAAAGGGAAAGAAGAAACTGTTTCAACAGCTAACCTCAGTGCTACTACAAACCAAGACATAAGAAATGATCATGAGCTTACATACAAGATACTCTCTTTCCCAAAGTACGGAAGAATATATGTGAATAATGTGTTAAAGGATTCCTTTACTCAGCTTGATCTGATAAAGGGACGTGTGACCTACAGACATGATGACAGCAACAACCTTATTGACTCCTTTAACTTTACAGTCTATGCTGGAGATGTCCATCTGGCTGCTGGACTGCGGGTTCGTGTGTACTTGGAAAGTCATCAGCAGCCACCAAGGATTGTGAACATAAACAATCTCTTGGTTGAAGAAGGAAAACCAGTTAAAATCAGTAAAGGAAAATTGCAAGTAGGTTAACTGTGTTGTCTGTTCCTCCAATCTTGTAGTAAGTTTTCTTCAGTTTTTTTAGCCTTTGGCAGTGTCTTCAGTTTGTGTCTTGTCTTCTTTAACTCCATTTGATTACCACTAATATGACTGCATTCTGGGTGCTTAGTTCAGGAGAAACTGACACTGGCTTCCATTTTTAGGAAGGAAAATGGATCATGTTAAAGAAAATACGGGCCATAGTTTTTGACTCTCTTACATATTGGTGCATAAGAAAATGATCATTTGGAGATTCTGCATGTATGTTTTTGTTTTAGGTGTGACAGTTATTTGTACTCCATGTAATTGGTCATAATTGAGCTGATGGGAAATGCCAAGGAAGAAAGGGTTTTTTTTAATTTAATTTGGAGCTAGTCCAGTTAAAATCGTTTGAGAGTGACATCCAAAATTAAAAAAAAAATAAGTCACAAGCCTGAGGTCACTTCTGTTTGATTAATTCTTCTCTGCCCAATTTTTGTGTGTAGCCTTCCAGGAGCCACCACGAGAGGGCTCTGGCTACATGTTGCTGAAATCCTGAATTCCTTGATCAGGCAGGGATCTGTAGATGTGAGGCCAGTAGTTAATTATGCAGTACATTCCTTTTAAAAACTTACAAAACATATTTGGGGTTGCAAAATGGCTCCCATGCAACCTTTATTTAACATGTGTCTGCTTAAGGCATTATATTGTTTTGGGAACTGTGTAACCCAACTAAATGCCAGTTTAGTTAGGTAGACACTCCCAGAATTTAAAGTGAAAAATTCAGAAGAGAATTATAGAATTTCTCCCACTTCCATTTGAATAATTTTGGGATATGTTCTTGAATTAAAGGTTGTTCATGAAAATAGTCCTCCATCTGAGATTGTGTTCACAGTAAGACAGCTTCCAGTGCATGGATACATTCGGAAGTTTTCCTCGGAAGAAAGTTATCTCAGTTCTGACCAAAGGCCAGCTTTGAGCTTCACACAGCAAGATGTCGACGAGGGCAAAGTTCAGTATGTGCAGACAGTTTCTAACCAACTTCATGACCATTTTTTTCTGGATGTGACCAATGGTGTCAGAACAGTGAGTGGAATAGAGATCTCTGTAGACATCATCCCCAGAATGATTCCACTGGAAGTACAGAACTTTACTGTATTTGAAGGGGGCTCAAAAGCCCTGGTGGAAGACTATCTAAAAATTTCTAGTAGACACTTCGCAGGACTCAGCTGTGAATTTATTTTAACTGACCAGCCAAAACATGGGTATGTTGAAAACTCTCGTGTCCCTGGAATAAAGTTAGCCACATTTACCAGAAAACAGGTAATGTCTTTAGATCTTCTTAGACATAGTGTTGATTAATTATTTGCTTTGCTGAAAGCTGTGAGATTTTGTGAAAGGTAGTGAGACACATGAGTTTGAGCTTTATTCTGGCCTTGAGTTAAAGACTTTTCTGTTTTTTCTGTCTGGTCATTTGGGGAGGGAGGCTGCCTTGTTGTGGTGAGCCACATCACTTCCTTGATGGCACTATTGGCACAGACTAATGTACTATTGCCACAGTAGACTGATGGGCCACTCACATTCAGGCAGAGTTGTAGATATTCTGGAAATGTGAGACTTTGGGTGCATTTTGAAAAGACCAGAGGAAGTGCTATGTAGAGTGAACAAGTAGAAAAGTGGGAAAAAAAGTAATTTTTTTAGGTAATTTCTTTGCTCACAGATAGCCACTATATGCACAATATGCTAATTTTCAGTAATTTACCTCCAAGAAGCAAGATGGTATCATAGGTCACCATCTACTACTAGCACGATGTTCAGTTTATAGATTCCAGGAAACATTGTTAAATATAGTGGGGTTGGATTTCCATTTTTCCTTCAAGAGGAAGGAAAGAATGCCAAGGCTGTCAAGATATTCTGTCTAGAGGCATGGACAGATGAGCAGTAAAATTTACTGTTGTGAATGGAGCAAAGATAGAGGTACAATCATATTACATCATAAACAAAATGTTCATACAATAAATACAGAGAGCCACGACTAGGATGTTTTTCAATGTGACATTTATTTTCTTCTAGCCTCTTTAGTTTTTCAGCTTGTTGTATTTTTCAGGTGGAACAAGAATTAATCTATTATGTTCATGATGACAGTGAAGAACTGATGGACAGTTTTACTGTGATAGTTAATAACACGGAATTATGGAAACAGAGTTTACCCCGAACTGTGTTTGTGACTGTTACTGCAGTAAATGATGAGGCTCCTGTTGTAAAAGTAAACAGAATTCTTCAGGTATGTTTGTCAACCTTTTGAAGTGTTAAAATAATTCCATTAATGCTGATGCCATTTAATGCAGCTTCATTAACAGACTTGTGTCTGGTAGGATAGTCAGTATAATATGTAGTAGTCCTTGGGTTTAGAGAAATTAATGCTAGTGAAAGGAGGCAATACATAGGTTATTTGTATTTAGGAAGATTTTAGACATGGAGAACTGTTTTGGCTGTTGTAAAGATTATCTTGATGGCTAAATGAGCATTCTTTTAATCTTAAAGTTATGTGAAGTCTCTTGGACTAATGTAGGGCATGTGAAGGTGGATGGCTTGCACCTGGATGTTTGTTATATTTTTGTGTTGTTTGCTGAGGTGTCTTGAGGGCTGTTAATGATCATGTAACTTAGAAAAGTACCAAGAATAGTGATGAGAATGAGAATGCAAACTTTTCACTATTGTATTTGCTCAGCCTTCCAACCCTATGCCTCTTGCCATGAAGTGCACTGAAGGATCAGACCTGCTGAAGTACATTCTACTGCCTGCTCTTGTCCAGATATGCCAGTAGAATGGGACAAGAGAGAATTTTTTATGTGTTGGGTATCTCTTAAACAAAGCAGGAGTGGTTCTCTTTTAAAAAGTTGCAAATAATATAATGCAGTCTGTGGAAATCTAGGGTCATCAAAATATTAGTCCAATCACTGAAGCTATTACTTTGCAATATCACAGTGTGATACTGTGAGCTAAGAAAAAACATGTTAACTTTTTTTAACTGCCTTCCCCCCAGAAAATCCTGAAGAAAATGTTAAAGTTACCTTTATCTAAAGCTACCTTTAGCTCTTAATGACCATAGCTGACTTTTTAATCTACAGATCTTTGAAAAGTTACCTACCACTACAGAAGTGACTAGTGTCACTTCAGTTTCAATGCATTTTTAGATTGATTAATTAATTTGTTTATGTATAGTATTTAAACCAGGATGTATTTGTATAGTATTTGTTTGTGTTACGATAGCAGTCAGTAATGAGAACCGTTTTAGTAAGCACACTCTGCCCAAAAAGCTCCCCACATGTAAAGACTTTCAATCTGAGATCTGATGAGTAAAAGCAAATTGACTCCAAAAATCAGGATGAAATGAACATGGTCAGCTAAGTGGTCACAGTAAACCCGCTGGAAGTCATCAACCTGGAGAAGGTATTTAGGAATAGGCTTGAAAGAAGATAAGCAGGATATTTTGAAGCTGCAATCATTCCCAGTGCTCTGTGTTGCAGTTTATAAATGGGTGGTACCAAAACATGCATGTAGTTAATGGTGTATTGAAGAGGGAAAGTGTATTACTCTAAAGATGATGGTAACCTTGTGTTGTATATTTCATATCTTTTCATATGAGAAAATACATTATTTTTAAATTAGCTGTAGTGTAAGTATTGTACAGCTTCACAGTGAAAGGCAGATAATCTGCACATGCCCACAACAGAAGATAGCCTGCCCTGTGCAGAGACTGCTGACAGAAGGGCAGACTGCATTGACAAACATTTGGGTGGCACAGAGCAAAATCTTCCCAGGTTTAAGTAATCACAGTGGCACTCTACAGACATCAGCACAGCATGCAGCAATCTTTGTCTAGTCACGGAGAAGAGAGCACCATGTTCAGCCAAGTTTTTTGGGGTCTCTGTTCTGGTGCATTGCTGGCAATAAAGTGTTGGCATTGAGCTGCTGGAATTGCAGTCTGTTAAACAGATCTAAGACTGTGTAGTGCACTGCAATGCAGCTTATGGATTTTTCTAAAAATATCTGTGAATCTAGGCTTCCCAAGAGCAGGATTAACAAAGCTTCACCTACCCAGAGCTGGTCCTGTCTACTGGGGAGGCAGTCTGTGTACTAGAACCAGGATGCTGCACTTGTGCCTGTGGTTCTGCTAATCATGCAAAAGCTCTTGTTGAAAAATCAAGTCTATATCTGTTGTGAGTGGCTACCATTATGTACACGTATGGTGGATTCATGTGCAATCTAAAACAAATTTGGCAGTCAAGTTATCTGATGGGAGGAATATGCTGAGATGAGTCTTCCTCGAATCAAACTTGCGCATCCTCAGTGGATGGAAGAAAATGGGTTTTTCTTAGTCCTCCTAAATACTGAGATGAGATTGGCATTCCCGTGTAGGGTGATGGTGGCTGGCTCTTTGCTCAGCCAAACAGTCTGTGCTCCTCAAGAACATTGCTAGTGTTAGATACTGAATGATAGACAATGTTGCTTTTAAAAACTCAGTAGCTCTTTTATCTATTTTGTAGGGTTGGAAATGTACAAAAGTATAAAATGACTGACCGCTACTGTGAAAACAGGAGTCTACTAGAACTGTTCGAGTTGACTGAAGTTTAGGACCTCAGAAATTTTGTAGATCAGAATATAAAGAGTCAGAAAGAAATGCTGAATGATTAAAAATACAGGCTAGGTTATGGCATCTGCTGCTGAGAAGTAGCTTATGTGATGAAGTACATGTCAAGAGGTGAAGAGGCCAGTGATGTTGGTGTGGGCATGTGGAAGTTAGTTTACGCCTTTGGGCTTCTGTCCAAACCCAAGAAACTTTTGGGTGTGTGCACACATGCTGAATGAGTCTAACTCTAGCTTCCTCACTTCAGAGACAGCCATAACATCCCTTCTTCAAACAGCCTTGTCTGTTGCTATCAATGTTATGAGCACCATGGGGGGAGTTTCAGAGTGACAGACATCCAACCATTTTGGGAATTTTTCTCTGTTTTATTTCTAGGAAGCAGAAGTCAATGAGGGTTTAAAGTGTTTCGTTTTTTTTTTTTTTTTTTTTTTTCCTGGCTCAGAATTTATGACATAACATCTGAGATGCAGAAAATTTTATGGTCCTGAGAACTTCTGTAGTCCATTTAATTTAAATACTTTCCATTGCAACAAATTTGTGAGATGTATTTTTATTTAGAAACTTAATTTATTGGCAATTTAGGTATAATTTCTTAAAATTTCCACAGGTTCTATGGACTTCTTTTTTTCTGAAATGAAAATGGGTAAAGGAAAAAGGATGTTTTGAAGAAAATTGCTATTCTGGCATTATGTGCTGCAATTATACGTGTTTAAATACATGGGTGGCAATGCTATGAAATGACTGTATTCTCCTGTTGCCACAAGAGGGCTATATTTTCCTAGAATTATTTTTTTTTAAAAAAAGCACAAATTTAAACTGATTCTTTTTCTTGTTTTCTCTAAATTGCTCTCTAAAGTGTTAAAATGCGAATACAGACTGTCTGGTAGAATATGTGGCATGCAAGAGATACTGATGAGCTGAATCCTGTAAGTAGAGCAGAATAAATTATTTTACATCAGCAAGGTCATGAACCTTTTGGACTTTGCCTGTGGAATATGTTAGGCACATGAAAAATCAGTGTCATGCTACATCATGGAGGTTCAGATACAGTTTTCATGGTGCTCTTCAAGGAGATTTTGATCTCAGATATGAAAAATAATATGCTTGTAACACTCTGCTGTGTTCTCAGTGTTTGCTTCCCTGTGGTTCTTCTCAGCTCTTAGATCTTTCATTCTTCAAGGATCATGTTGCAGGCCATGTATAGTACTTTAAAAAGAATTAAGTGGTAGTGTGCTGAGACATCAGAATTAAATATTGACATTACAGAAAAAAATGGTTTTCTATAATTAGAAATTTTAATTCTTTTTTCCTTTAGTAAGGAAAATAACTTGGAAGTTAGTGAGTCATTTGTAATAACGTGTGTTCATTATAATTTTATTTCTTTGTATATTCTATATGTGACCTTTTATTTTCTTCATAGAATAATTACGCAAGTACTACTGAGACAAATTAAAAGGTCTCAGTACAAAAACTGATGTGCTTATTTGGTGCCACTCACTAAGTCACCCTGTGCTGTTAGTTGTCATTCTGTGCCGTAAGTGTAATTCTTTATCAAAATTTAATATTTGTAATTACATTACAGCAAAATACATATTTCAGGGAAGAAAATAGCTATTTGTTAGTTGAAAGGTATTTTTCATTATAAATTTACTTTTCAAACTTCTTCTGATTAGAAAAAAAATCAAACTTCATTTTAGTATCTCTTTTTCCATGGCATGGGAACATTTTTGTGACACAATGTAGGATGAAATCTTTCCTCTGTTGAAGTGTGGTGGCAAAAATTTCAGTCTCTTAAAAGGTTTTCTTTCATGTTTCATGTTAAAAAATGGAATTAATGCTTAGTGAATTGTGATTAATGATTTTTGGCTTTGGTAGAGATAAAATGCTCTTTGTTAAGAATCATGTGTCCCCTTCAACCATTTGGTGGGATGTTACTACCAGATATTTATTAAGTGTACTTAGACCTAGAAAGACAGGGAGGAATAATGCAGTGTGTTTTGAAGCTCAAGCTGAGGTATTTAAAGGTTTAGGCTCTTAAGATTTTACGCTATGTTACAAATTGTGTATGAAAATAATTGATATTGATGTAGTGAGTATTTTAGAAATTTCACTTCATGTTGAGATAAATATGTATTGTTCTTTGTTAGCACTTCTATCTGTATTTCCAGATATATACAGCAGAAATGAAGCATAAAATAGGCCATTGCTTATCCTTTCCAAACAAGAAATTACCCAGTCAGATAGGAATGAAACCCAGAGGGGAAGTCCTTTCTGCTTGAAATAAGGGACCTTAAAGATCATCTAACTCCCCCTGCTGTGGGCAGGAACACCTCCCACTAGACCAGGCTGCTTGAAGCCTTATCCAGCCTGGCTTTGAGCACTGCCAGAATTTGGCAATCCACAACCTCCTTGGGCAGCCTGTTTCAGTATCTCACCACCCTCACAGTAAAGAATTTTATCCTAATACCTCACTGAATTTCCCCTCTTTCAGAGTGTACCCATTCCTCCTTGCCCTGTCACTCCAGTTCCTGTCAGAGAATCCCTCTCCAGCTTCCCTGTAGGCCCCTTCAGGTACTGGAAGGCATCTCTGAGGTCCCCACACAATCCTCTCTTCCCCAGGCTGAGCAGCCCCCATTTTCTCAGCCTGACTTCATAGAAGGGGTGTTCCAGTTCTTTTACTGATCTTGTGGCTCTCCTCTGAAATTAGACTTAGAATGTGCTCCAGCTTTAGGTTTACCAGAAGTAAATAATGGTTTTTATACCATCTTTCTGAAAACTAGTTAACTATTCTTCCTCAGTTGTAACCTGGTAAATGGTAAGCAGCTGTTGGAGACATTGGTTGTTTCATCTCCCTAAGTGCTCTGAGTGTCTCTGGGTTTTTTAGTGCACTAAAAAAGGGCCTCTGGTGCATTTTGCTAGAAGAAAATAGTGCAGCTGCAAGAACTGTTCCATTTGTATTAGTTTATGCTGTCCCCAGGCTGTTTTTCTTTCATCTTTTCTGCTGGTGAAAGTAGAACATATTCAGTGTCTTACCTGCTGTGAAATACATGACACTAATATTCATGTGTATGTGTTGGAAAGCAGTTCCTTTACTCAGTTATCATAATACAATTTTTGTTATGTTTCTGAGAATTTAGAGCACTTGCACTCCAACTGTCTGAAACTCTTAACTGATGTAGGGTGTGTTTGCTTGTATTATTTCAAGGTCTTGTATTTTGCAGACTATTTGCCAGGATGAGCTATGCCAGTCTGTGATTAGAGATTTGGATGGACCGTTAGGAAACCTGTTATAGCTCCGAGTGTTGCACAGCAACAATCTTTATTCTTTCTTTTTCTTGGAGTCACGTGTCATCCAGCCCTGTCCCTCGTCTCCTGTTGTTCCAATTTTCTTTTGTATACATTTTCTTGCTTTATTTATTTTTAAAATCATTTTTGCTTTTCTAGGTCTGGGTGGGTTCAGTCACAGAAATAACTGTTGATGACCTCTGTGCAGAAGACAAGGACTCCTCACCATCAGAACTGGTGTATTCTATTACTCCACCTAGCAATGGACACTTGGCTCTGAAGTCTTCTCCAAACAAGAGCATCCTAGCTTTTACCCAGACTCACATAATGAAAGGGCAGCTGGTATTTGTACACAATGGTATGTGATTTCAAAAATACCACATCTGATACCAGAATATACTATTCAGTATATTTGTGTTTATAATCCATTAAAGATCCCATTGTAACGTCACAAAGATCTTGGAACACTGGTTATATGAAGTATTTATACAGTGGTTATACATTATCTCTAAAACAACAAGATGTCTGATGTCTATTTAAATGTGTGCTCACTGAGAAACCTTGATGTTCTTGTGGTTCATTAGATAGCATCCTTCTTTCTGAAAGCAGTTTTGCAGTAGGGGAACATTCCATGCACATTTCTCCTTTCAGAGATAGGAAATCCATTTTTTTGACTACTGTGATTGAAAATTTCCTGAAGCATTTCTGTCTTGCGACAGTGCAGAGCTGTTCATGGTCCAACAGTCTCACAGATACCTGGCATAGTGCAGTGATGGATGATGAAGTTATGGTTCATCTGTGTGATGTCAGTGTCCCTTTCAGGTTCTGAAAGAATTAAGCTTTAAACATTGATTCTTTCTCTTATTGTCCAGAGCTAGAGATCGGGGATTTATATTCATTTGGGAGAATGTGTGGGAAATAAAAGAAGTTGGGGCAACTTCATGCATCCTTGAGTGGCAGTAATGGGAAGCCACAGGAAAGAACTTCCTAGTGGGGTTCCAGCCAGAAGAGGTAGGGCTTTCACAGGGTGATAGCTACCTATTTTCTGCTCCAGCTGTATTACTACTTCCCTCAGTTGAAAGAAGAAAGGATTTGCTACAGAAGGAATTCAGTTGAAAGAAGAAAGGATTTGCTACAGAAGGAATAAGTTGTTGTTTTGGGATGGAGGTAGAAGAGATACACTGCTCTTCTGCCGGCCCTGAGGCAGGCTGTGCTCCCTTGGGTGCAGAAGTCACTCCAGATTTGTGCTGTGTCTTCATGAGGCTGAAGTACTGTGCCTTATGATGCACTGTCTGGCAAGGTGCATATGTATTGCTGAAATTGCTTTACAATCAGTTGCTGGTGAGCTGTAAGTATCCTGCTCAAATAATTTGGTCAGGAAGTAAAAGGTCAAGAGCATGATAAAAGTGAGCCAAGCTATTTAAATTGTTCCAAGGGAGACTTGTACATGTAGGAAGCCCTATGATTGTAGGACAGTGGTAAGTGTGGGGAAATTAATCTGCTCTGTGTTCCAGAAAGGGCAAATGCACATGTGTAGTCCTAGAGAGTGAGTCTTGATTAATAAAAGTGAAAAGAACAGAAGATTTCATTTTCCAGTCACTGGGAGTAATTTTTCCAATGAGTGTAGAGTAAATTTGCAACATAAAATTACCTGGGTTTAGTGTCAGGTCTTGCAGCTGCTCTGGCTTTGCTGTCTGCTTAACCTTATGGCCTCCAGTGCTTCACAAAGTACTCTGATAATTTCGCTTCTTTGCGTTTCTTGGTCAGTGGTTTTCCTCTCTCCTTCATCTTGACCTGTTGCTGGAAATGTAGTTGTTACTCCCATCTTATTGCCTCTAGCCTTACCTGGGGCCTTTCTTTATACCTGGGGCCTTTCCTTATGTTGTTGCTGTCATTCAACTTTTTATCCCTTTTCTCTATGTTTCCTTTGTTCCTTGTCATCAGTCTTAGGCTACTTTGTGTGCTGGCTACTTTGTCTCCTCTGGGAAGTACCCCCATCTACTCTTCCTACTCATTTCAGCCCTTTCCAAAAGCACAGGTTCTTCTTGGCTGAGACACCTCTTCCATCCTCCAGCTACTCCTCATGGCAGTATACAGTTTTTAAACCTGTACGTGGCCATGACTTTTCATTCTCAGTGTGTTTTTTACTGCCAATGAAAGTACTTTGCTTTTATGCCCCTAAATTAGACCTCTCAATTTTCCCTTCACATTGCTCAGCCTTATGAGTTACATTTTGCTGCTTATTCTGTGGTGTGAGTTGCAAATCTTCCTCTTTCTCTCATGTTTTCCCTTGGATTTTTGTTTCTTTCCTCCATAATCTCTGATTGTTCTATCACCAGTGTAAATGCAAAACTAGAACACACTTTTTCCTTTTCTGTACCCCTCTTTCAGCATAAGAACTCCTTCTCTTTTCACTCTGGTTTCACTCTAGGGTTCTCCTCTCTCACTTTTGAGGTATGGGCCCTGCCCTTAAACCCTCACAGTATTTTTCTTAGGGGCAGTAATAAATTGAACTCTTGTTGCTGATGAAGTCTTTGTGCTTGTCAGTGCAGCTTTTACAAACCCTCTTTCTGGTGTCCTTTTAATCACCTCTGATCAGACTAATTTTAAAAATTAATTGTGATAAAATGATAAATACTCCAGCCAACCAGAACTTCAAGATGCAGTTCTGTTCCTGACTGCTGATGACAAAATGTCTATGTCAATCAAGCAGTTGACCTGCCTTAGCCAAAAAAACAAGAGAGGCTGCATAAGCAGGTTCATTTGGGGTTATTTTTCAACTTAGTACAAATAGTAGACTACTCAGATGCTTTTTTGAATCAGCAACTGGTTCTTTTTTGTTAGAATATATAATAAAATAAAAACTTTTAAAATAAAAGCAATATGATCAGATCTGCCATAGCTTCTTCAGCTACCTGGCTAATATAAGAGCATTTCCTAGGTCTATTTTTAACTGTAATCTCAGAACACACATTTGATTCTTCTGATATGTTAATTTATAGTTAGGCAAAGTATGATGATCATTACATGAAAGTATGTGGTACTCTCTGGCTTTTAGTATCTGTATTCTTGTAGCAATATCTTAATGGCTAAATTGGGCAAAGCAAATACAAGAGCGTGGTAATTCTTTGCAGCAGTTAATGTTTCTCTTTTTTTTGGTCTTTTTACCTAATTGAATAACATGGAGAACCTCTGCTTAAAAGCAGCCTGTCAGTTTTGAGATATGTATTTTTACAGGAATCCACTCAGACTCCTGGAGGTATTTTGCTATTGCTTGTGCCAAAGTACATACAGGTCCTAAGATTAAAGGAAAAAATGTGCGTTTATTATGAGTACACATAACCTCTGAAATAGTTTAAGCTGTGACAACATACCTTCTTCAGCGAAGCTGAAGTTCAGTGAAGAGGCTAAGGAAAAACCCAAGAGTTTATTCAGACCTTTAAATATAAAACAAAATGAAAGAACATTCAAGTTACCTTTCTCCCCAAATTCCTTCTTTGCCAAAAGGTGATTGCCTAGGTGCTTTGGACCCTCCTAAGACATAAATGGAGTTGAAAATTTTGGAGCCATTTTCTACCCAAGTTTAAGATTTCAGCTCCACCATGTCAGTGAAGAAAGAGAAGGGGGCACTCTTGCTGATTTTCATCTTAGGGGTGTCTGGCTTTCACTGAAAACAACAGCCAGTAGTTCTCCCTGGGGAATGTGTTAATTGCATTTTCAATTTATTTAATTCTAATTAAGATACAAAGGCTCTGATAAGAAGTTGCTTTCAGGATGATCTTGGATATATTGCTAAGGAAACTTCTCTGTCTGCTTATCTGGAAGTCACTTTGATACCCCCAAGACTTTGATTGTTGAGATGGAACCCCTCTCTCATCTGGTGGCTCCAGTCAATCTTGCTTGACTGTCTGCATACCCAACACTCACACAGTCAAACAAGGTTTCCTCACTGACTTCACTTCAGGTTTTCCTTAGCAGAATCTCAGGTGCCTCTATCCTTAATTTAATTATTGTGCAACTACAGAGTAACGGCTCTGGCTGGGAGCTCATGACAGGGGACCCTGACCAAAAGGCTTTGCAGTCTAAGCCACGAAAGTCTGAAGTCCTCAGCTCCTGCCATGTCTCTGAGTGTTGGTCCCCCGGCAGCAGGTCCCAGTGCCCTTTGTTATGCAAAGGCTCAGCAGTTCAGGGCTGCTTGCCTTGGGCTCCTGCCAGCCAGAGCTCAACCTGCGCAGCTCCACTGCAGCTGCACCCAGAGCTACCTGCTCTGAATGTGTTCCTCAACAATATTTCACGGTAGCCAAGCGTGAAAGGTGTCCAGTGTATGTTTGTTTTTTGTGTGACAGAGTAATATAAGAATAAATTTTTGGTTTTGATTTCCACAGGAGCAATGTCTGGAGGCTTCAACTTTCAGGTGACAGATGGTTTGAACTTTGCACCCCGACAGATTTTTAGCATCACAGCTCAGATGCTGGTCATTAGCCTTGAAGTGAACAAAGGGCTCGGAGTCTTTCCAGGTAGGTTTTTTGAGATGATCACTATTTTGTCCACTTGAAATTATTGCCTAATAGAGAGTTATTTGTCAGATAATTAACTGACTAAACTATGGAAAACTAGCTGGGAATATTTATGTGTGTTTTTTAAAAAAGGGTTAATGTTTTCTCAAACAGCATACTGCTTTTTTGCTTTGCAGTCTTTAACCTTTTGATATGTGCATGCTTGGAGTCATAGAAACTGGCAGTGAAATGTTCAACTACAATGTGATAATAACACTGTCTGCCTAAGCTCTGGAGATTTCCTATTTAGGTTTGTGTAAAATCTCTGTAGTCCATTCAGATATTTAGAGATTTAGGAGGTTGTGATAGTGCCTTGTAAAAGCAATAGAGGAATGAAGATTGTGGCCATGAGATTCTGAATACCACGTGTAAATTTTCCAGATTGCTAGTTCACTTTTCTTTTGTTTAAAATGAATTATAGACAGCAGCACAAACTCACTGAGGAATCAGAAGGCTGGAAAACTTTGATTCATATTTGTGCATTTGTAGCTAGTTGATTCAGCAGCTGAGTATTTTTTAATGAAATCATAGCATTGAAGGAGTTGATATGCTAAGAGGTCTCATCAGAGCCATTTATTCCTTTGCATTAGCAAGAGTAATCTCTCATTGAGTTAGGAATCTAACATTTATTGCAGGATTAAAGGAGAAATAAAGATTAGTTTTCTCTCAGTAGTATCTTGCATCACACTTTTGTTTGTGATGCCTTCTTTTTTGTTTCTCTGAATGTGATCTGTAGAATTGGAGAGATACTAAGAATTGGCAGAGTTCCAGAGGTTGTAATCTGTACCTTGATTTATTAATTGGATATCGAAGAGGAGCACTTTATCTTCTTACACTTCCTGAATATAAGGTGCAAACAAAGGTTTGCAGCAAAAGCCACTTAAACACAGGCAACAAAAAATGAGATTGTAGCAGCATGATCTTCTAATTCAGTCAATATAAATGGGATTCACATAAATCCACTTACAAAGCTTATTAACCTGCAATTTTGGTGTGTATGGTTGCCTTGGGCACAGGGATTTACTGGAATTCTATCTTAAGCCAATGATAATTGTAAGAAAAGTATGCCTAATACTTCCATAGAAGGCAAAGTCTCTAGGCTGTCAATCAGTTCTTCTGTTTACAAAATACAGTATTTCTTTCAGCACTGCAAACTGTATTCGTCCAAGATTGCAGTTTTTTCCTTGCATTTGCACTTACTTTGGGTTAGCAAAATTCCTTTTAGATGTTATAAAGTGTTACTAGATTTTTCACATGTTCTTTTTATGGTATTTTTTAGAGACACTCTGGAGCTGTATGGCTTTCAGCTGTACTTTGCCATCATGAAATGACTATTACAACAACTAGGGTGCCAAATGGTCACTATATATAAAAACAACAGCCAGTGTCCTGTTAAATTTTATAGCCCTACTAAGAAGGGATCATTTTGAGCCAGCTTGAGAAATCTTCTCTCTGGGGTAGTAAAAATTGAATTTATTTTGAAGAATTTACCATGTCTTTGTGACAGGGTGCAAACTATTCTCCAAAGCATATTGTTCTGCAATTTTATAAGAGCATGAACTGCTTTTTTTTGTGTTGGCTATACCAGATCTGTTTATATAATTCATAGATTTTTTTCTGTTTTAACAGAAGCTTGTTTTATTCAGCATAGTCAGCAAATTGACTGCTAGATATATTAGCTTTTTCTACTGTATGCTAGATATGTACAATGGAAGGATTTTCTTCTTCAGGAAGGCAATTGCTCAAAAAAGAAATAAGCTGAGTTTCTCTGAGGAGAGTTAAGCCTGACTTGTAGTTAATTGGAAGCAGAGCTGTCAAATCAGTCTTGATGAGATGATGAGATGATTTATAACTCTTCGGCAGTGGTAGGGAGAATGCTCATGCCAAAGGATTTTCCAAATCTTAAATGTAGGCAGCAAAAATGTGTAACAAAATTACAAGGCACTAACATTATGCTGTTGCACTCTACTTGAATTGATTAGCTTGGCCTTATTCAGCGTCACCTGTTCTTGTTGTATGTCTTCCTTCTCTGTCTGTTCCTGTCCCCTGTGTTTGTGTGGGGTTTTTGTGATCTCTCCTTCTGTGATTGAGAACACACAGGCAGTGTTCTCACTTCATTTTCTTTCACCCAGTCTGCTGGCTGCCAAATAACCTTCCTCTCCCTGTTGAGGTGTCTGACCTGAGAACTACTGTGACTGCCAGGGAAGTTCTCAACTCTCAAGTGAGAAGTGGATGAAGGAGAAGGTTAAGTTTGGGGAGGATGCTAATTTACAGAAGGGCATGATAGACTATGTTGTCTGTGTCTCTAGACTGTATTTCAGCCTGTGGAGTTCAGTGAGAGAGGTCAGGTCTGCTAGGAATTGAGGGAGTTTTGTGACAGATGCCCTTGCTCCCCATTGCCATGCTCTGTGATGGCAGTGGTGTGGTACCCTGGTATGGTCAAGAAAAATCGCAGCAGATGACAGATGGTTTGAACTTTGCACCCTGACAGATTTTTAGCATCACAGCTCAGATGCTGGTCATCATCTCTGTGCTGTGACCATGTTTTAGAGTTAGTCTGTTAAGGCAATAAGGCCTGATTTGCATAACTAGCAGGTTATGCAAATAGCTGTGTTTGCAGGTTTATGTGGTCGGATTAACTGTTGTGCTAAGTTGTACATTCTTGGCCACATCTGCTGTATGCAAAAGGTCATGGTTCCCTCCCTTCCTGTCACAGGGAAAAAAAGGAAAAGAAGGGAGAGGTAGAGGAGGGAGACTTCTTGAATTAAATATTGTCTGGGAGAATTTTTCTCAACCTGAGAGACTCCTTCACTTTTCAAAACAGTGGGCACACAGAATGGGAAGGTAAAAATGGGAAAACAGGAAGAGACAGAAGATCGTATAACAGCTCTGTTTCAAAGCAGTTGTTATTTGAACTGGAGCACAAGCAGATGTGAACAATCAGGCCCCTGGTATTAATAATGGCTTTAAAAGCATCCCTATTCTTCACTGTCCTTGCAATGTTTTCTCCTTCTGAATATTATGGCATATATATGTATATAATACATGTGTTATTTTGTGTTATTCTTGTAAGAGCTGGATTGATAATTCATATTTCAAGTATATTTAATATCTCATAGTCTTTGAAATTATGTATTGAAACCTATAAACCTTGTTGCTTAAGGAGAAGATAAAATGTGAAAATGGAGGCAGAAGTGGGGATACAGGGGGAATAGGACGATGGGAATCTTGCTCCTCTCAAATGATCATTGAGCTTAAATTTTAGTTTGCCAACTGTGTACCTTGAAACTGCATTAAAAAGAAGCCATTTTTTTTTCTTTTAGGAAATTATTAGCTAGGAAATTATTGCCCCAGCTGCGTCAAAAATTGTCTTGCTTTGACTAATTCCAGAAAGCTCTTTATAATCTTTAGGACAGAAGGTAGTAACCTTAGTAAGGTTAGTGTCGTGCTATGTATTAAAAGAATTTTGTTACCACTCAGTTTCCATCTATCTTAATAAATAATGCATTATTTCAGTTCAGGCTGTTACTTCTGTTTCATGGTGTTCTTCCTAGTTTGTTTAATTCAGTACTTATATTTTTATTTTATTAATGAAAATCCTATTTCATATTGATAAAGTGTACTTTTGTTAATAATTGATTTTGGTTTATGTGTTCATTAGAAACTTTGCCGTTTTGAGTCTTCTCTGAGTCAAATCACCTATGTCTTCTGTGGCAACTGGGAACACCAAAAACATTGGAGTTTGAATTTGGTTCTAGACATGTGATATAGAAACAGAACTTCTTATTCGTGTTCTGATCTGTACGCAAAACTTCAGGTAGTTTTTGCAGAAGCCAGTATTTAGCGATTACATGTGCTGAAGAAAACTGCATTTTTAAAATGTGGGTACATCCTACTGTGATAGGCTTTTTAATTGAAAAAGCTGTTGAAGAGTTGTAACCAGAAGGTATCTAGAAAAAGAGTAACGCTGCTGATCTTATAAAATGTTATTAAAATGGTAAGTAGAATACCTGGGTGAGAGTGTGAGTTGTGCATGCAAAACTTAGACTTTTGGAAAAAAAATCTGTTGTAAATCTTGTTCCTATACTTCACATTTTTTAGGTTCCAGGAAACCTATTTCACAGCATGATCTGAAAGCTGTAACCAATGATGTGACCAGTGCAGGAAACAGAACTATAACTTTTGTGATTGTAACTTCCCCAAAACTTGGAAGGCTGATCAGAGTAGATTCTGATGATACCACTCAGGAAATCTTCAGTTTTACACAGTCTATGGTGAGCATTTAATTTATAACACCTAGTTGAGGGGTAGATTGTTACTACAGAGAGCATCTCAGTTGCTCATTCTTTGTGTGATCCATTTATATCTGTTAAGTAACCAGGTGTATGTGACCCATCAGTGCAATCACCAAGATTTGCTATGTCATTAAATATCTGGCGTCTAGTAATGAACACAAGAGGAACCTTTGTTCCCTTCTGCTTGGATACTAGCAGGGTCTTGGCAATTCCCACTATTTTGCTTGTAAGACTGTTTGTCAAGAAGAGCTGTTCTGGTGCCATTAACCAGCAGTCAGAGCTTTTAGTTTTTGGCAGAAGAAGCAGCCTTTTTCTCTATGAAAAGTCCAAGTATCAGATCTGTTTCAGCTGTACAAAGTCCTCATGGCTGTCCCCAGGATGACTTTTATTGACTGTATTGGCTGTGGTACTAAATGTGTGAAGTATCTTAACTGTGATACAGGCTCTCTTACTGAATGACTAAAACGTGGCAGCTTATGTAACTCGATGGAAAAATTCTTCTGCAAAAGGAATACTTGTCTGTGTGCAGAATTCGAATATAACTATCTTTAGCATACATTTAGCTATTCTCAGAAAATTAAAGGGAGTGAGATAAAAGAGGGTCAATTTTCTGACTTTGCTCATGGAAAAACGTATTTTTGCAGATTTAAAATGCTATTTGATTGAGTATATGAAGGAATAAGAAAATCTATTGGTCAGAATTTAAACTTGGGCAGTAAAACCTGGAAAAAGGACAACATTTTTATTTGTTGTCATCAGGCTTTGAAACAACCTAACTAAGGATGGTTGTAGAATGGGTCTCCACCTGGACTTTATAAATCAAGATGAACACAGAATGGTTTTCATGAAAAACATATTGTAATCCCGTTATGCCGTTGGTCTTGTTTCAGAAGTTGCTGAGTTTTGTCTTGTTTGATGAAAGCAATGAACTGTATAATGACACTTTACCCTTCTGATCCCAAAATATGTGATTTTTTTGAGTATTAAATGAAACAATTAAGCATGTTAGACAGAAAATATTTCAGCTAAGGTTTTGAAGTGTCCCTCCTTTTGCCTGTGGATGTGACCATTATGTGTGTTTATTGGACAGTACCATGTCAAAACATGTCACTTATTCTCTGTAGCTTTAGTTTTTAGTAATGTATAGCTAACTTTCCTTTTAACTTTGTAAACTGTGAAAGGTTTTGGGCTGAAATAATATGTATGCTTTTCTTGTCTGTTGGAGATATTTCTATTGGCCATTTTAATTTCAAAAAAGTAGAGCTGAATGTCTTCTTGCAGGTGGAATTCAAGTATCCAAACAAGATTGCTGTTTATTCTGGTAGAGGGTGAGATGTAAGAGAGAGAAAGGGATCCTAAATAAGCTTTCAGTTCAGTGTGTTGTAATCACAGGGAGTTAAATATGAGTGAAGAAAATGGTATTTATGTTACAAACATTGTACATTGTCCATGTAATGGAGACTAAAGCATTTAGTTTCTGTTTGGTAATAAGCTTGAAAAACTGATTTGAATTGAAAAACATTTTGCATTAGTGTAGGTCTGTGGGTATTCATTGACTTAATTCTGTGTTGAGGAACTTGAAATTTCACCTTGGAAAAGAAGTTACTCCTTTTGCTGGGGTGCTGAACTCTTCTGTATTCGCTGTGGTTTATTGCTTTGTTGCCAAAGGGGAAAAAAAACAGCAAAAAGAAACAGAAATTACTATTGCATTCCAAGGCATTTTTCTTGAACAAATGTTGTTCAGCTAATATAAGAAAATTTTTTGCACATTAAACACTCTTGAGTAACTCAGGAGTTTTTCAACATAATGTTTGAGTTTTGTTTTTCTCTGCAGTACTTTCTGTGATATCTTAGAAGTATTTTCATCTCACAGCAAACCACAGCTTCTTCATTATATAGAGTCATTGCAGAGGTAAACACAGAAATCCTCACCAATTGCATTCAGTTCTTAGACAGACATTAGAATGGATTTGCAGTCAAAAAACTGCAAAACAACCAGCCAATTAAGATGGATAATAAACACTGCTGAATTTAAAGGATTTGTATTGTCCTGTGTTTGTTACAAAAATTTGCTGTCCTCAGCTTGAAGTCCTAAAAAGGTTTTTGGAAAGTTACCCTGAGCTAACATTCTCTTCTGCTATTATTTTTTTTTTTTTTGTTTTTCCTATAATAGCCATTAAGAATTAAATCAGTATAGAGAAAGCAGAAACCTGGAGATGTGCATAAAGGATTTTATCACATTAGTCTAAATTTTTGAGAGAAAAATTGGGATGTTTTTGAGGCTGCTGAGAAAACTGACCTTGAAAGGTCAGTTTGCCTAGTGATCTTAGTGGGGGCTGTTGCAGTAATTTCAGGATTCAATCTCTCTGTATTTACACCTCAGATTCTATACTTTTAAACTTCATCTCTGATAACACCAGGGGGTTTTGGTTTCTTTTTTCACATCTTTCAAGCATGTATGATAGAAATGTGTACTAATGAGTCCCTTTAAGGTGTTTGCAGGGTGTGAGGACTATGTTAAAATAGTAAATTTAAAACCAGCACCATCTCAGACAGGAATCTCTCAGGCAGTTACAAACTAACATGTGCAGGTCTGGTCAGCGGTTGCCTGGGAACTTGCCAAGGATTTAATGGGTGTAGCTGTCATTTCTCCAGGGCAGTGAATGAATTATCAAGCAGACCAGATGCTGAATCTACTGGATAAGATTCAATAAGTAGTCTAGTCTTGCTATCATTAGGAATTCTATTACAGTTCCAATGTATTATAGTATTGACCATAAAATTCAGGTATAGTTCCAGCTGGTGAGAAATAATCTGAAAATGCTGCCTTTTGCTTTGGGGTCTAAAGAGATAAAATGGTTTTATCTTACATGTGCATTTGTTTCTCTGGAGATGTAGTGCAGTATCTTGCAATACTTTGAAGCTTGATTACTTACAGTAGACTGATTAGATTCCTTGAGTGTGACAATCTGCAAGGTCAGTGCAGGCAGGGAGAGGACAAACCAGATTCCTTCTCATCTTTTAGGAATCCCTGTCTTGCTGTGATGTAGAAATTTTCCACTGTGTAGTTCCATCACCTTTTTGCTTGTAAGTGAGAGTAACTATCAGTGGTCATGGCACTTCCTTCAGGTTTTCTTAGCCTCTTACCAAGTGTCTTTTGTCATTTGAAGGAAATAACTACATCAAAGTCCTTCTTCAGCCTTCAGCCTTTCATATTCTTTTTCAGGACAAATAATCCAGCCCTGCTAGTGTCCTTGCGAAGAAAACCCAAGAGATTGATACTTTAATTTACTAAAAATACAGTCCATTTGAGCACATGATCACCATTACTAGTTTGAGGCAGTTTCTCAGTGTTATGTATCTCTTTGCTCTTCATGTAAGGCTTTTACTAAAAATTAATGTCCAGTAACATTTCATTACTTTCATGTGTTTATCTGGCAACACAGAGTCCATCTTAAGAGAAAGAGAAATGTGGGATAATCTCAGTGTACATACAAGCTGGATTGATGGGCTGAGGCCAGTGGTGTGAGGTTCAACAAGGCCCAGTGCCAGGTCCTGCCCTTGGGTCACAACAGCCCCAGGCAGTGCCACAGGCTGGGGCAGAGTGGCTGGAAAGGAGCTGGGGGTGCTGGTGGCAGCAGCTGAACATGAGCCAGGCTGTGCCCAGGGGGCCAAGAAGGCCAATGGCATCCTGGCCTGGATCAGCAATGCTGTGGCCAGCAGGGCCAGGGCAGGGATTGTCTCCCTGTGCTGGGCCCTGCTGAGGCTGCACCTCCAGTGCTGTGCCCAGGGCTGGGCCCTCACTGCAGGAAAGGCCCTGAGGGGCTGGAGAGAGTCCAGAGAAGGGCAATGGAGCTGGGGCAGGGTCTGGGGCACAAGTGCTGTGAGGGGCAGCTGAGGGAGCTGGGGCTGTTTGTCCTGGAGAAAAGGAGGCTCAGGGGGGACCTTATCACTCTCTACAGCTGCCTGAAGGGAGGCTGTGGCCAGGTGGGAGTTGGCTTCAATCTGCCCAAGTAACAAGTATTAGGATGAGAGCATATGGTCACAGTCTGTGCCAGGGGAGGTTTAAATGGAATAGCAGGACACCTTTCTTCATGTGAAACACAGCTGAGTATTGAACCCAGTATTCACCTTTCTTAATGTGAAACACAGTTGAGTATTGACTGCCCAGAAAAGTGGTTGAATCACCAACTGGATATTTTAAAAGACATGGAACTTGGGACATGATTTAGTGGTGGATTTTGCAGTTCTGGATTAACAGTTGGGTTTGATGTTTCAGCTCTTTTGCAACCTAAACAATTCTATGATTCTGTATACTCTGTGCATGGACTAAGGTACAAAGGTCTTTTTGAACAATGTTCTCAAGATACCTTTTCTGTCCTTAACACTCTTCTGCTTATAATTACCTTGCTCTTACACATATGTCTACTTTTTACCTGGAACAGGTTGATGAAGGTGTGATCATGTATGAACACTTACATGCTGAGTCAGCTACCTGGAGTGCAGAAGATTTCTTTACATTTACTGTATCCTCTCCACCATCTGCTCTGGATGTCCAGAGGTTCCATGTTGTCATTTCATATGAAATTGACAGGCATGATCAGAATAGTCATCTTCTAGCAAATACAGGTAAAAATGCTTCACTGTTTTGGCTCAGAATTGTTTTGGATCTGTCAGAGGTCCATTGAAGAGCAGAGGAAAAACAAAAATTTCTTTCTCTTCAGTAAGCAGTGACCAGAATACTTCTGAAATGGAAAGTACTGTAGGGTAGTAGCTTGGAGTGCTGCGTTCACTGCACCTTTAGAAATGAAATAGATACATAGGTTTGATGCTTCCTACTGCTGTAGAAGACATTTTGTTTTCTGTAATGGTAGGTGGAAAACACTATCAGAAGCTTTGAGATACTTGTATTTCTTTAATCTTAGTGTATGCATCAGTCAAAAATATTCTTTCATATCTGATTGTACTTTACAAGTAGTGGTAATATACTTTTAGCTGTGACATGGAAATCAAGGATACCACAAAGGATAGAAATATTTGAGTGTCATCAGTGTTTAATATGTAGTTTCTGAAATAGTGCAACTATAAAATGTTCAGTTTCTAAGATTGTCTTTTCATTTCTGCCAGGTGCCATAGTCCAGGAAGGAGGTAGAGTAGTAATCAACAAAACCAACCTAGATGCTTCAAACCTATTGATTAAGCTACCTGATGTACACCGCTCCATGTATGAAGTCTGGTATCAGGTTGTGTCTTTACCCCAACATGGCATGATTGTTGTTGGAGAACGAAACGTTACCAAAGAAAAGCCTAACTTCTCCCAATACGTACTGGACAAATTTGGAATTATGTACATACATGATAATTCTGAATCTCTATATGACAATTTCACTTTTGCTGTTTGGTTGAACCTGAAGAGCAAGCCTGCTACAAAGCCCCATAGTGAAGTTGTAGAGGAGATGTTTAATATCACTGTTTTCCCAGTGAATGACCAATCTCCAGAACTGAAGACTAAAAGACTGCACTTGAAAGTCCTGCAGGGAGATGTGTCAGTGCTGGGGGCAGAGAATCTGAAAGTTGAAGACTTAGATAATGCTCCAGCTGAGCTGAAATACACCATTGTTAGCAACCCCAATAATGGTTACTTAGCAATGAAAAGCAATCTCAGTGTCTCTATAGAAGATTTCACACAAGCTGATGTTGACAGTGGTAAAGTGTGGTTTGTACAGGATGGAAGTTCGTCTTCTGGGGTGTTTTATTTCAGTGTGACTGATGGTAAACATCGCCCTTTATACAAACTGTTCAGTATTGAAGTTGTACCAATCGCTCTCGTCCTTGTCAACCTTACCAATGTTGTACTGCCACAGGGCCAGACATCAGTCACTATTACTGACATGCAGCTTTCGGCTGTCACAAATGGAAAAAGCACTAAAATTATATATGAAATAACTCAGCCACTCAAATATGGGCACCTCATGATTGGAAATAAGCAGGTTACTAAATTTGAGCAGGCAGATTTGTACTCAGGAAGGCTCTCTTACCACCTCACAAATCTTACTGCTTCCAGTGATGTACTGGAGTTTATGCTTTTTACTGCAGAAGGCAATCTAACAGGACAAGTGCTGAACATCACAGCGAAGCCTTTAGTGCAAATTGTATCTGACCTGCAGATTTCAAATCAAGCAGCTTATAAATTTGGAAGCAGTGACCTGGATGCTTCTGAGCTAGCCAATTTGACAAACAGCAATCCTAGATTTGAAGTGATGGTGCCCCCCTCTCATGGGAGGATTGTTAAGAAAAGGTTTGTGAATGATGCAGTGTTTGAGGATATTCAGACGTTCACCCAGGCTGACATTGATAGTGGTGTTTTGCTTCTAGACATAGACACAAATATGACAGGCATCAATCTGTTGAATGACTCATTTACATTTATACTCAGGGCAGATGCTGTACAGCCTGCTGTTGGCTGTTTTCAGTATTCCATTGTGCCACACAGTCCTCCACTTGTGCAGGGTTTTACAGCAGAAGTGCTTTTTCTAACCAGCATGACCACTTTCAAGGCTCACTCTACCTCAAAGGACGAGGCACTAGTCTCCTCACAGAATGAAGAGCCTACAATAGCACCACAGAAGACTGAACCAACCATGTGGCCAGGGCAGAATCATTGGGGAAACCTACATGAGGAAGATCCATTGCTAAATCAGGCCATGGGAACAAGTGCATCTGTCGAGTTGAAGATGACAAACCAGGTTAATGTCAGGAGTCACAGAGAGCAAACAGGTGAAAGCAGCCCTTGGTATATTATTATCCCCCTTGTCCTGGTGTCTGTCCTACTCATTATTGCTGTTACTTCTGTGTGCATTTTGTTAATGTGTCAGAAGAAAGAGAAGACAAAACCTTTAGTCAAAAGTCAAACAGATGCAATCCTCAGTAGTGCAGATCGATGTCTGGAACGGAGTTTGACTGTGCCCTCTGTCACAGTGACTCCTCTTCTGAAGGGGGCTGAGAGAAGTACAGCCTCTACATTTGTGGCAGTAAAACATGAGCAGCTGCTTCCTACAGTGGCTTCTCCAGCTACAGAAAGGTATCTGAAAAACAGTTTATTAAATCTTGATCCTGAAATGATCCAATATTGTCGAAAAACAAACCCAGCTTTGAAGCACAATCAGTACTGGGTATAGTCAGACCAGGTTTGGTCATGTTAATTGATGTCATATGGAAAAGTGAATATATATTGTTGACATATAATTTGCTGTTTATTACACTCATTTATTATAGGTTAAATGATACACTGTGTGTTAGATGATATCTAAATACCTGTGAAACTGTGAAATAATAATAACAACAAAAATCCTACTGATTACAGTGGCCATGACAGAAGATTTGCAGTTGGTATGTCAGCAAAATTCTCACTTAATTTAATGGGGAATTTGGCCTTGTGGATTTTAAGTGCACCCCATGTATGCAGTATTTTTTATTTCCCATGAAAGGTAAAATAGAATGTTCTGTCATGGATTATATATTTTTATTGAATTGTTGGGCTTTTCTTTAACTGATTTTGCTATAAAGGTCTTTTATTCCTTCTGAATCACTACTTCTCTTTGAAGACCTTCAAATTGTTTCAATAAGTAATTTTTCCATAATGCTAATTTCAATAATTTCAGTAATTTTAACCTGAAGGCTGTTCAGAGGCCAGTAGTAAAGAAACAAAACTGCATATTTTGACAGGTCACTAAACTTGATATCCAGAATTCAATTCAGCAACAACAGTACAGCAGTGAATAAGGATTCTGGTGGAATACTGTGAGATATTGTTGGGTTTTGTTTTGGTTTATTTTTTCCTGATTTTGTACTGAACTTTAGTGTCTGAAAACTGCTAAAATATATCCTTTAACTCTACCCCACATGGCAAAGATTGAGTATCTGTCAGTCAGCCTGTCTGCTCAATTACCTTTAGGCTTAGATTATACCTGGATGTGCATAAAATTTCCTGCTTCTGAGAAAGGGGTAAATTCTGCTTCCAGTGAAGCAAACACAGCCTTCTCTGGAATCTGTGTACTCAAGCAGATGGCAGTAGAATCAAGGCCTGGGCTGCATACTGTCTTGGATCCTGAAGCTATTGACAGAAGCAATCCTGCAAGGTAGCATGTATCCTCTTTGGAAGTTTCACAGTTTACCCCTCATGTTCCAGAACACTGAACAAATATGCCTTATGCACTGCTGCCAAGTACTCTGTACTCCAACTTTGCTCTGGTGATAAAGTGTGCAATAATTTCTGTGCAAAGGGAATATTTCACTCTTTTTGAAAATCCAAGCTCAGTAGTGATGTGCAGTCTCTAGTTAAGGCCCAATTTTATTTCCACTGAGAAAAAATAGTATAATTTCTGTTGACTACAAAGAATGAACTGACTTTAAGGGAATGGCACTGTGATAATAACCAGTCTCTTATTAACAATCTCTTATGAACTTCTCATCTACTTTTCACCTTTAAATTGCTACGGGTTCCATCCAGCATCTTTGTAAAAACTCTGTTCTCAGCAGTCTCAGCACTGCACCCAGTCAGTAAACACTGGACTATCATTTTTATTTAGGCCTAATTTTATATACCGTTTTCACTTTTATAGAATGGATTTGCTGACCTCAAGATCCTTGGTGCTGTTCATGTCATACTACTTTGTTTTAAATGCTGTTTAAAATTTTTGATTATTAAGTGTTTCTGTCATTTATAGATTCTAGTTATGGGAAATTTCACCCACAAGGTGGGCCAGATGTAAAGTGTGCTTACTGCTGTGTTCTGGGAGCTGAGCACAGGAGCAGTGGGGGTAGTGCTCACCTCTTCCACCTCTGCCATGGGCAGACATGATTGTGGTGCATTTTTAGAGGCCACTCCAAGAAGAGTAGTGCATGTCAGTGGAAAGTATACAAGCCATGTCTTCAGCTGATCAGTAGAGTATTAGAGTACTTGGGACTAAAGGTATGAACCCTTCATAAGCTGAAACTAAATGTGTTAGAACCTTGTTACACAGTTTTTAACATTTGTCATTACTCCATCTTCCCTGATGCCAGTGTGGAGTTCAAGCCTGTGATCAGTGTGAAGGGCTGTGGGTGTTTGGTGTCGCAGCTGGATCTCGCTGTAGATCTGTGTGGTGGACCTTTTCTGCTTTCCCAGAGGAGGTCTCTGGGACTGTTCTGAGCAGCTCTCAGCCAGAGGTGGTGTTGCCAACCACCACAGGGACACCCCTGCGCCCTCTGTGGAGGTACAGCTGTATGTCTCTTGCCATTTCCTGGGACCCCTCCTACCAACACTGAGCAGACACCAGCTTCCTCCAGATCCCAGCTGTCAGGTGCAGCCTGCCTCCAATGCCTTCTGGACAGTAGCAGCAACCTGATCCCTTTACACTTTCTCCAGGACACACTCCAAAGAGGACTAAAGAGCTTTAATCTCAGCACTTTTGTAACCCGTGAAGAAGCCTGCTTCGCATTTTTCTAGCTCTGGGACCTTCCTGTCAAGAGCAAAACACACCTCATGCTCCAAATCCTTTCAAGCAGTGCACCTACACTTTGATACCAAAATAGTGCACTGCTGAAAACTCCTGAAGTCTGGTGACAAAATCCACACTGTCAGCTTGTGACAGGGTGAACAAATATACAGAAATTAAATGTGTACTTTATGAGATTTTGATAAGTGTACCAGTGTAAAGATAGCTGTGCCTTAATTTGTGGTGTTTAGTGTGTGGTGGAGATGGAACATAAGGCTGATGTAGTGCTGGTGATGTAAAAAATGAGACTGTGACATAATAATCAAAAAAACTGTCATTCAGTTATAACTCTGCAATTCAATGGGCATTCTTGAGTTCGAGCATTTGCATGGTAGGAGAGAAAAGCACTGTATAAGAACATCAAAAAAGGTGGTGGAATTTGTGCTGGCTCTTTTGGCTTTAGCATAAGGGGCTAAAATCTTGCTCTGTTTCCAAAATAGTTTTAGTTGACAAGAGATGTTCATTTCCAGTAGATTAGCCATTATGGGATTATATCTTGTGCATTTTTCTCAATTTTTAAAGCATTGAGGTATTCTTTTTCAGCTTTGCTTTTGTTTTTATAGTTAAAATCAGCCTAAATACCTAATTAATCAGGGAAGTGTGCCAGCATTCAGTTTTCTTCCTCAGTTTTTGCTGCTGTGAGACAACTGTGCCAAAGTGCCTGCCATAATATGGAATGTTTTGATGACAACTTTTTATGAATGTAAGTTTATTGTTAATCATGATTACTTGGTTTAATGCAAAATGCAGAGACAATAGTGTAACTGATAACTGCATAAGAATTTAGCTTTAAAATCCCATCCTGAATCCTAGGTAAAAAAATCCCAAAATTAAGAACTCTGATTATGTTACACTTTCCCTGTGGACAGTGCAGAATAGTCTTTGGCAGAGGATGGTTTATCTTGTTCATACATGGATATGTAATATAGATAAATTTGCTCTGGCTTAGCTAGTCTAGGTTTGAGATGGTAAAAACTAGCTGGGATGAGTCCCATACTGGGTTTCCTAAACTATAGTCAATCTAAAAAATACAAAAAAACCCTACCCCCCTTTGTGGTTATGGATCCTTTTGAGATTCTAGGAACACACATATTTTCTGGTCAGAATCTGGGTTGAATATTTTGGTTGTTTCCCTTGCCCTTGAAATTGTGTGGGTTTTTTAGTGGAGATGGGGTTTCTGAAGGATTCCCCTTTTTACCAAAAGGATGTTATAAACTGCAACATGAAAATACCTTGAAAACATATATTAAATCAATAAACTTTTTGTTTATAATCCATGCTTATAATTGTGCTTTTTATAAAGACCTCTGAAGTGCAGAGACAGAAGAGAATCCCATTGCCAGTAACAGCATTCTTCTGAGTTTGCTAGTGTTGTATTTTTTAAATTGCACAAAAGTGCGCTGTGCTGTGCCCAGTGCCTCTCAGTGTGTGTGGCTGGAAAAGGAGACACTTCTCACTGTGCACCTAACCTGGTCATGTCCAGCACTGGCAGGAACGTAACATCAAAATAAATGCATTGATTTGAACTTGTTCTAACAGGACTGCCCTGGGTTTATTTCAGAAAGATTTTCTGTTATTTAACTGCATCTGATTTTAAAATATCAGGTTCTTAAATACATTAATGTTAATACATTAATGCTGTTTCTTCTTTGATTTTCCTCTTGATTGAAAGTACCCCCTCACTCCAGCCTCGCTCCAAATACACTGTTGAACCGCCTTCTTTTTCTCAATCAGAACTTAGCTGGTTTGCAGTTGTTCTTGTAAACTGAGGTAAGGAACTTCCTCTTGAGACATGAGAAATGCTGGTGGCTCTGGGGAGCAGCTCTCTGTACACCATGCATTAGTGCCCTGTGCACAGAAATCTGTCCACAGTAGTGGCAGATTACTGTGTCCCCCTCCTACACCTCAGAAAATACTGGTTTGGAAAGAAGAGAAAATAGGACAGAAATGGTCATAAACCCTTTACATTCTCCTTTTATTTACATATGGATGAGTGCCAGGTACAACTTTTGCTGCAGTAGCCTTTGCTACCTTCTGCAATTCCAAATTCAGCAGAGAGTCTACTTACGTGGCCTCCAATCTGCTTTGCATCACTTTTTTCAAGTCAGTCCTTGTGATGCTATGTTGAAATACATTCTGTGAATATTTTTATACAGGCTGAAAATAATTGTCCTGGCATATTCAATGGAAACTGTATTAATTTATCTTCACTCATTTCAAGCTAAGTAATTCCTGCCAGAGCTTGCATATCCCAAACGCAGTCCCAGAACAAAATGTTCTTTCATTGCAACTGGTGAAATCTATATTTTCACATCTATTTGTAGGGAGATTCTGCATGGTGAAATGCCTGCTGTACATGATCATTTCCTCATTTCCAGTCTTCCGCTTGGTTGTTTCTGTGGGAATGCTTGGTACATGCTGGTAGGCACTGCTAGACGTGAAGTTATTTGCAGTTTGAGGTTTTAGCTGTGAAGCATTTGCATGGCTTCACAGTGAGAGGGGCATTACTTCACATAAATTTGTTGGGGAAAAACAAAGGAGGAGCAGATTGAGAATTGGGATGGGAGTGTCAAAACTCCTTGCAAGAGCACAGGCAATAGATCTGAATAAATGTATGCAATGTAAAACGTGTGACTGATCACACGTGGTGGAGTGATTTGCTCCAGCTCATAGACTTCATCTTGCATAGGTACAAGATGTGGTGCATGAAAGCACATTGGTGAGAAAATTTTTGAGAGAATAAAAAATAAGTAATCAAAAGCTTGCTTTTCATATACAAGTATAGACATTGAAGGACTTATCAATGAAACTGAATCTCTTAGGGAGAGGCATGTAGGAAGTTGTTTTGAGACGTGCAAAGCCCCTGGAAAGCTGCTTTGCTGGCAGTGAGTGCTGAGGAAGGAGCTGGTTAGAGAGGCAGGGAGAGATAGGAGGATTACAGAGGCAAGCTTTCTGGGATTAGATGGAGTTTCTAAAAATGGGAAGGTCGTTTGGAAGCAGATCCATGGGTTTGTTTGAAAGGCAGACGTGACGTGCTGGGCCATGCCTTAGGCAAGCAGGCTATGATCCGTCACACTGCCTGGGAAAGGAAAGTGTCTAGGGAGAGTCCTGCTTAGGGATGAGTGTCAAGAACTAGAAGCTCAGTTTGCCTTTTCTTTTTATTCCTTCTGTAGCTGGAAAGAGCTGTTATTTCTATTAGAAATAAAGAATGTATGACATGAACATTCTGAATTTTCACTTAAGAGGGTTTTTTCAAGAAGTCTAGTTGTGGAATTCATCAGATCAGATCACTAATATCCTTCTTTAAATAACCACCACCCAGACTGGCTGAGTTAAGTTGCCTAGGATGTAATTCAGATGTTAGGTCTGTTGGCATGAATGTTACCTTAAAAATAGAGTTGCAGTATTCCTAGTGTCTTGGTCAAAGTGCAGAAAGGAACAGGATGGACTTGCTTTGGAGTTTGACTGATTATATTAATTGGAAGCAATTAACAATTAATGTTAAATCTAGCAATGTGCAGATACAAGAGGTATTTATAAGTAAGGCAGCAGAGGTCTTGATTTTAAGCACTGAGCTAACTACACAGACAAACATGGACCTGAGCTTAATCCTTGAAGAAATGAACGTATCTGGAGAGCTGGTCACATTTACACATGGTTGCACAAAATGCTGTTGAAAAGCAGCACGGGGATAAGATTAGATCAGGTGTAAAAGTAAGCAGGAGTGGGGTGAATCAACTAGAACAAAGAACTGCCTTCTTCATTAACCATCTGAGCAAGATATTGACTCAATCTGTATTAGCCATGTAAAGTCCTATACACTTCTAAGAATGCTGCAATATAATCATCAGTGAGTGCCCATTTTCCTTCCTGAAGTCACCTTGTTGCTGGTTGCAGCACTTAGGTTCATTTAGTCTTCTCTATGGGCTGATTCTGGGATCCAGAGACATCTCCTTAGTTCTCATCATGGAATCTGCCCTCAGAAGACATGTACTTCTGTGCATGCCATTCAAGAACAAGGAGGGAGGTAATGGTTGTTCCCCACTGATCTCTGTAATGGCCTACTCTAATCTGAACCCACAATTTAAACTTAAAGGCACTTTAAATCCATTTCTGTTTTATTGGTTCCCCAGAAAGCCTGAAAGGTTGTAAAATGGTGGGTTCATGATGCCTCTGTGTGACTCCACAGCTCAGGAAGCAACAGCTTGTGCTGTGCTTGGCAGACCTTGGACATTTAGCAGCCTATTCTTGTCCCACTAGGCTGCTGCACAGACAGAGGGAAAGAGCCTTCACTCATGCAGGTCAGTGCAGCCTCTCTGCACTCCTCCTGCTGTCAGAGAGAGGCCCTCTCCTGCATCTTCAGTGCAGCTGCAGAGGAAGAATTTGCTCTCAGGGGCTGTCAGGCAGTGGAACCCTGACCTAGTTTCACAGATGTCCTACTGCCACCCTGCTGGGGAGTTCTCAGCTGTAATCAGAGGGCAGTGCTTTGCTAAGAAACACCTCAGTAGTGCTCTGCTTTAGAGTTTTATCTTCCTTAAAAAAACCCCAACAAACCAACCTCTTTTGAGAAACACAAACACAGAAGAAGAATATGTAAACACACACACACACACACACACATATATATATATATATATATATATATATATACATACATATTAATTTAAAAAATATTATAAATCAGACTCTCTGTCAGATATTAGAATAGTTGTAAACAGTGCATCTCCTTCCAGGCACTTGTGCTACAAGCTGTATAGGATGGATGTACATACTAAATGCAATTCTGCCCATTACCTCAGTGATAGTTTAAGTCATTCTTCATTTCTTTAACAAGTCTGACTGCCTAGGAATTTACATGTCTCTCTTAGATAACTGTTATGTGGTTTAATTGCTCATTGGCTGCAAGTCATCAATACACGTTTATTTTATGGGAAAGTTAAATGAGAAGATGTTCCTGTGCATGGATTTTGGAACAGAAGGTTTCTTGTTCTTCAAATATTTGAAAGTCTTTGTAACTCCAGACATCTTGGATCTGATATATGCATTTCAAAGAATAGCTTGGCTGCTGCTGACAACTTGTCCAACTTTTACTACTTTGGGAAAAAATACACCAACCCTGTTACATGTGGGTAGCTGTAGAATAATTTGAAATAAATAGCAAAACTTATTTTGTCTAAACACTCTTTTCTGGTATGCGAGACATGGACCTGTTTATTTCTTAGCTATTGATAAAATAAAATAAAGCAAAAATGATGATGCCATTTGTTTGTACAGCCAATGCAGAGTCCACTGAGACTGACTGCTTTTCTTTAGCAAGTGTAGAGCAGCTGTAACTAGAAATGTGTTTGGATGCTGTGTGGGTAAATCATCCAGCTGGTTATACTGACAGCATATGCTTAAGAAATACAAGAGCAAGTATCCAGCAAGTATCTCAAAAAGGTGTTTTATTTTCTTGTTTATGGTTTCCATAGAGGAATGTATGTTGTTGCTTTCCTGTTAGGAGATACTTATATTTACAAAGCATTTGACTGAGCTCAGCTTTTTGTCCCTTGCTAGAATAGATGGCACAAGTGACTAATGGCTTCTACACAAGCACGTAATATGAAAAGGGGGAGATGCCTGACTCAAAGTCTCAGCAAACTGCCTTTGAAGATTCCACAGACACAGGAAATGGCATGGCCTTTCTTGCTTTTAGGGCAGACAAACAGGACGCCTACATTCTTTGAAAATAAAATGGATGCTGGAAATTTGGATAGTTACACAGCAATCTGTAGGCTGTCTGATTGGAAGTGACTCCTCTGTGTCAATTTTCTCCTTCAAACCTGGCTCAGGGATCTCACACAGAGGTGTAATGGGAGCAAGCACTGTTAGCACTAGGGTGTTGCTCAGCCTGTGAAATCTCCTGGGTTGGCCATAGCCACTGATAAAAAGGAAGAATATCAAGTGAACTCTTTCACTCTGAGGATAAAGAGCAACAAGGACCTGGAATCACCATACCTGCAATATTGATGACATACACCAGCATTCACTAAACCTTCAACACCCCAGCTGGAGCCTGACAGTGCCTGGTTTCACTGGAAGGTGCTGAAATCAGAATGGCCTTTCTTTGGGCTTGCCTGGGATTTACACTCTGCTGACTGATGGAGGAGAGAGCCTGGCAGTTCAGGGTTTGAAGTGATCCAGCTCTAGCCTACATCTTGCCACTAGGTTTGCAAATTCCATATGCTCTGGGAAAGTCTTGGTGAGGTTAGATAAGGATCATGATAAGGGGCA